CCGTGACCCACCAACCCAACGATGACCTCCAGTCCCACCACGACCCACCAAGACCCACCAACCCAGCAATGACCATGATCTACCATGATCTTGACCCACCATGACCCCCCAACCCAACCACACCAAGACCCACCATGACCCACCGTGACCCACCATGACCCAACCCAACAATGACCAAGACCCACCAACCCAACAATGACCAAGACCCACCAACCCAACGCCGACCTCCAGGCCCACCACGACCTTGACTCACCATGACCCACCGTGACCCACCAACCCAACAATGACCTCCAACCACTCCACAACCCAACGATGACCATGACCCACCATGACCTTGACCCACCATGACCCACCAACCCAACCATGACCCCCAGCCCCACTTTGACCTGCCACGACCCATCAATCCAACCACGACAAGACCCAGCGTGACCCACCAACCCAACGATGGCCATGACCCACCATGACCTTGACCCACCGTGACCCACCAACCCAACGATGACCTCCAGCCCCACCATGACCCAACGATGACCTCCAGCCCCACCACAACTCAACAATGACCTCCAGTCCCACCACGACCCACCAACCCAACCACAGCAAGACCCACCATGACCCACCAACCCAACGATGACCTCCAGCCCCACCACAACCCAACGATGACCACGACCCACCATGACCTTGACCCACCATGACCCACCATGACCCACCAACCCAACGATGACAAGACCCACCATGACCCCCCATGACCCAACGATGACCATGACCCACCATGACCCAACCCAACGATGACCTCCAACCACTCCACAACCCAACGATGACCATGACCCACCACGACCTTGACCCACCATGACCCACCAACCCAACCATGACCTCCAGCCCCCCCATGACCCAACGATGACCATGACCCACCATGACCTTGACCCACCATGACCCACCAACCCAACCATGACAAGACCCACCATGACCTACCAACCCAACGATGACCATGACCCACCATGACCCACCCACGACCCACCAACCCAACGATGACCTCCAGCCCCACCTGGAGAAGCTCTTGCCGCAGTGGCCGCAGGCGTAGGGCTTGTGGACGTGGCCCTGGTGGGAGCGCACGTGCGAGGCCATCCTGTCCTTGCGCTTGAAGCGCTGCTGGCACACGGGGCACTGGAAGGGCCTCTCGTCCGTGTGCGACAGCCGGTGCCGCTTCAGGTGGTAGACGTCCCGGAACGCCTTCCCGCACGTGTCGCACGCGTGGCTCTTCCGGGGGGGCCGGCGCGACGAGGCCCCGCCCCCGCCGCCGGCTCCGCCCCCTCCACTGACTCCTCCCCCCTCGGGCGCGGCCTCGCCCGGCAGCAGCTCCTGGGGGGCGGGGGGGGCGGGGAGGAGGGGGAGGGGCAGCATGGTGGGGGGAGGGGCCTTGGGGGGTCTCTTGGGCGTGGCGGCGGCCCCGCCCGCGCCGTGGGTGGCCTGGTGGCGCCGGAGGTTGTAGCCGTTCTTGAACTCCTTGGCGCAGAGGCCGCAGACGAAGGGGGCGCCCTTGGCCTTGGCCTTGCGCGGCGATGACGTCACCGGTGACGTCATGGAGGGCGACGTCATGGCGGGCGACGTCATGGCGGGGGGAGGGGAGGTGACGGGCGGGGCCGGGGGGGAAGGGGGAGGGGGGGGGAAAAGGGGGGGGGGTCAGGGGTGGGACTGGTGGGACACCAGTGAGACCAGTAACACACCAGTGAGACCAGTAACACCAGTAACACCAGTGAGACCAGTAACACACCAGTAACACCAGTGACACCAGTGACACACCAGTAACACACCAGTGAGACCAGTAACACACCAGTAACACCAGTAACACCAGTAACACCAGTGAGACCAGTAACACACCAGTGACACCAGTGAGACCAGTAACACCAGTAAC